ATCAAACTGCTACCTAATACTGATAATGCTAACCCAAATTGAATTACTTCCAATGGAAATTAAACAAATGTTGGTCCAAAATGTGATTTCCCTATATAAACTATAGTAAAGTTTACCCCCTCCCCAAGGGGAAACGTGAGACCCCAGGGTCAAGAAATTCACAATTTTGGTAAAGCACCTAAAGACCCTTCCATCTATGAAGAGTATTTGATTCTACCATATCTGGGTCTTGAGTAGAAGATTTTTAAAATTTTAGTCATTTTGACCATATGTGGCCCCGCCCCTCAGGCCCCTGGGGGCTTGGGACTAAACCGGCCACTTTTTTTGTTGAACTTTGTCCATGGAAGGTCCCTGCAAAATTTCATTGAAATCGGTTCAGGGGTTTTGGAGAAGAAGTCGAAAATGTAAATTGTTTACGGACGACGGCAGACAAAAGGTGATCGCAATAGGTCACTTGAGACTTTGTCTCAGGTGACCTAAAAAGCAAAAGTCTCAGGTGACCTAAAAAGCTTGATAGCCCTTCATCCAAGCATGCTACTTGCCAAATATCAATATCCTGCACCTTTTGATTATTCAGAAGAAGTTGTTTTAAGTTTTTTTAACATATTTGACCCCTGTGACCTTGAATATAGGTGAAGGTCATTTATTTTAACAAACTTGGTAGCCCTTATCCCAGTTTGCTTCTGGCCAAATATCATCACCCTAGACCTTGCGGTTATTAAGAAGAAAGTTTTTAAAGTAAAATATTGACGCCGGACGACAAGACACGGGACGGACGCCGCACCACGGCATAAGCTCACCTGGCCCTCAATTTTACAATTAACTTACTGTGTGTACGTATTTGTTAACTCCTGTACTGTTTCTGTATTTGATGTTAAGCCGTCTACTTTGATAGTCTGTACAATTTGAGGCACTGGAAATCTGCAAAACAATGTGATCATCTGAATTAAATTTGACAAGACAAAACAAAACTACTATACCATTAATTTATAGACAATACTTTATTCTCCCTACTGAAACAAAACGGATCTCGAGTTTGAGATCCCCCTAACCCCCCAACCCCTCCCATCGTTCTGACAACTCCCCCTTACCCCATTCTGTCCCTCTAAAAAGATCTGAAGTAATTTTGGAGATCCGCTTGCCACTGGTAGAGAGTCTCATTGACCTCTGTTGAATGTTCCGTATTTATTATACCCCTCTCAACGCCCCGCAACAAAGTTAGGGGGGGGGGGAGGGGGTATACTGGAATCAGCTTTTCTCTTACCCTGGACAGGTGTATCTGCACTTTTACCGGTGTGAGATTTCCTTGTCTCACCCTAGGGTTGAGACGGGGATTCCCCTATTCATAACAATGGTATGACGTCACTTCAACAATACAATGACGTCACGTCAACCCTGAATTTAGCATGTAATGTTATCATGTAATGTATATGATACACAATGGGAGAACAGGGTAAGAGAAAAAGAATCATTCAACCCCTTGTGGGTAAGATAGGGGAATCTCAACCTTCAGGGAAAGATTCTCAAGTTGTCAAACACTCAGCAAAGCCTCATGTTTGGCAACTTAAGAATCTTCACTCTCGGGTTGAGATTCCCCTATCTCAACCCAAGGGGGTGAAAGATTCTATAGGTCTGTCCGCCCGTAGAAAAGTTTGTCCGCACAACTCCTTCTAAAGTAATGGTCCAATTTCAACGAAACTTTCCAGATATGATAACTACCACCTGAAGTTGTGCATCCAGGTATTATTTTTTCATTCTGATCCTTTTTTTCACAAAGTTATGGCCCTTTGTCGAAAAATAATTGTCCGGACAACTCCTCCAAAACTACGGTGCCAATTTCAACGAAAGTCTTCACATATGATAACTACAACCTGATGTTGTGCTTCCAGGTATTATTTTTTACTCTGACCCTTTTTACAGAGTTATTGCCCTTTGCTGATAAATGCTTACCTGCCCAACTTTTCCAAAACTACTGGGCCAATTTTAATGAAAATGTTCAGATATGATAACTACCAACTGATGTTATGCATCCATGTATTATTGTTTTCAATCTGACCCTTTTTTATGGAGTAATGGCCCTTTGTTGAAAAAAAATTGTCCGGTAAAAACCTCCAAGACTATGCGGCCTATTTCAACGGAAGTTTTCAGATATGATAACCACCTTCTGATGTTGTGCATCCAAATATTATTTTTTTCCAAACGTTTTTTTATGGAGTTATGGCCCTTTCTTGAAAAACCCTTGTCCTGACAACTTCTCCTAATCTACTGGGCCAATTTAAAAGAAAGTTTACAGATATGGTAACTGCTCCCTCATGTTGTTTGGTTTGCAAGTATGTTTTGGCATTGGGAGGGAGAACATGAAGTATATGAGTGAGCTATATATACTTAAAGAAATCATTACTGGTGGGAGATTATATTGCTTTGCAATGTTTTGCTTCAGCAAGCCTTTGGATTACAGTTCTGGTTTATATAGGAGCGGGGGGTAATAGTTAGCATTTACTTAAATCAAGAGTTTAATTCAGAAAAAAATGTAAAATACAACTAGAACACTGACAGGTCAGTAAGGGCCCCGTCTTGTGGCAATATATCCCCCATAAACATCAAGAAGCAATCTGCCCATATAGCTGAGCTCGACGTTTGACATTTGGACTTCAAAAGAATCGCAAGGAAGCAAAATATAATTTTACATGTACTATGATGTGAGTCTTGTTTCCTTCCACCTCCATTTTTGCTGGGCTAACAGAAATGTAAAAACCGGTGCGATACTCATTTGTTAGCTTTGATTTGTTTTATTTCACCTTTAATACCTCCTACATCAAGAGCCAGGGTCAAAGTCAGAGATCCACTTTGTCTTTGACCTTTGGACCCAAATGACATTGACCATTAACCCAGTGACCCTGATTTCTGGTCAGTTGACTTATTCTTTAATTCTGACCAACTTTGCTTCTTAATATCATAACAAAATGTTCATCAGTGAAAAATACAAAACTTGACCTTGACCCCGTTACCTGGACCTAAGGTCAGTAGACTCTGCTTAGTTCTGAACAACATTGCTTCATAATGTCATAACAAAATGTTCATCAGGGAAAAGGTACAGAATTTAATCTTCACCTTTGACCCAGTGACCTTGACCTTTGGTCAAGTGACTCATTGTTTAATTCTGAGCAACATTGCTTCAAAGTGTCAAAGCGAAATGTTCACCAGTGAAAAGATACAAAATTTAACCTTGACCTTTGACCCAATGACCTTGACCTTTGATCAGTTGACATGTTGTTTAATTCTGATCAACTTTGCTTCATCATGTCATAACAAAATGTTCATCAGTGAAAATATGCCAAAGTTGACCTTGACCTTTGAATTTAATGACCTTGACCTTTGACCTCAACTTTTTTACCTCAGTGTGTCTCTTTGGTTAATTCCGAACAACTTTGCTTCATAATGTCATAGTGAAATGTTCACCAGTGAAAAGCTACAAAATTTGACCTTGACCCCTGACCCCATGATCTTTAACCTTTGGTAAGTTGACTCCTTGTTTATTTCTGATCAACTTTGCTTCATAATGTCATAACAAAATGTTCATCAGTGAAAAGATGTAAAATTTGACATTGACCTTTGAACCTAATGACCTTGACTTTTTACCTCAATGTGTATTTTTGTGAACTGATCATCTTGACCAAGTTTCATGTACATCGGTCAATAAATACTAAAGTTATCAGCCAGGAACAAAATTTGTGGACAGACAGACAGACAGACAGAGTGATTACTATAGGACACCCGTATCTCCGATACGGGGCCCTAATTATAGTTTCCTTTTTTTCAGAAAAACATCTCTGCCACAAGGATTTGACTGGGCATGAAATACTGGTTTGCAACAATATTGAAAATTACTTAAAATGTTCTTACATGCTAAAAATACCTAAAACCTGTAAATGTATTAACCCATTCACCCCTAAAGACATATTTGAACTCTTCCAATTAAAAGATTGGACTTTCAAGGCTTGTTTGCAGTAAAAACACATGTTTTATTCTTGACAAGTCATCCGTATCCATTATACAAATGATAGAAAACCTATACATCTCCATTTCACATGTAAAGGTTATTGCATGGTTTTCGAGTAACAAGGGATTTATTACGCCCGAGCGAAGCGAGGGTGTAATAGGTCCCGAGTGATGAGAAATCATGCAATAACTGGCTTACTGCATGCTTCCCAACTCGAACAAAACAGAAAAGTTGAGAAAAATGTTCACCTGGACAATCTTTTTACCTACCCTACCCTGCAGATAATTTACATGTACCTATGTGAGTGAGTACTAATCATAACCAGGTAAGATTCTCAATAGCCCAGTCTGAGTGTATCCTTCATAATGGATACAAGTGTTTGTGGATTACTATCCAGGTCCAGTGTCAGGGAAGGTAAGGAGTGTCTGTTCAAAATACGTGAAACAATGTTGAATTTCTGACTACATTTTCAGTTTAATTTTCAAGATGTGGCAAAGGTACAGGATATTGAAACCATTTTCATATATACAATGTAAGGGTTTATCAATCCCTAAGGAATTCCAGTTCTTTCAATGAATGGTATATTTGAATGTGCAATTTTGTATAAAGGAACAGTTCCTTAAGATTATAAACTTTTCCGGGAAATGCTTATCCTCTCACGTGATAAGGAAATCTGTTTGTGTTTTTCAATCATGAAATTACCATTTTTAACTTTCATTTTTCCCCTTATTTTAAATTTGTCAACTAAGTTTATCCTCTACTGTATTGACTTCATCGTTACTCACTGATTGATTATCTCCCCTTTCTTACAGCATTTGTGGTCACAGTCCACTGGGCACACCCCCTTTCATGGTCATGTAATCATGATTGGCCTTGAAAGGGGATTATGTGTGCAGTGGACTGTGGTAGCAAGTGATTTATTGCCCACACTTTTCCATTGTGAGAGGTGGGAAGTATGCAGTAAACATGTATACAATGCACTACATTTCCCACTAGCTGGTAACACACAAAACTGTGAGGTAACTACCTGGTAAGTAGGTCACATATTGGCTGAGTGCACATATCCTGGTCTGGCTACGTGTCAATTTTACCTGTTTCTACCTGCAAGTACACTGACTGGGGTGTTGATAGACTGAACAAATTTAACAGGTAATGCTCAGGCATGGGTTGCTGATTTTTGCTACTACTGATTTTAAAACTTATAATGGGTTCACAAAACTAGTGTCACGAAATATTAGCCTGTGAGGAGAACATGGTTGAAATGCAGACCAATCTTCTGTCTGATGTTTTAATTTCAAGATCATGTATATACCCGTAAAGCAGTTATATGGTGTACAAAATGGACTGAACTCTGGGTAAACCTACTGCAAAGTTGCTGTTTTAAATAACACAATATAACCGTGGCTTTTTCAAATTTGAATTTACTTTGCTATAGAACTTATTATCAAAGTATTGTAAAATCTTGTATCAAAGTATCAGTAGTGTTATTCTTATTGTGGTATGTAGTGTTGCTGTGATAATGTGTATGGGAGCAATAATAGGCTATGTGACTTCATGCAAAACACTGCAATCCCACCATTAACTGGGTCTAAAAAAATCCAAACATTTTGATTAAGTACTCCTTTTAAGTTACAGCATACAAAATGCATGACATCTATGAACTTCTGCTATCAAAAACATTTCGGTTTAAACAAATATTTTATTTCATTCGTTATATAAAACTAGTACACGTGTAAAATAGGAAAAGGATCTGGCAACAAGATTCTAAATCTTATATAAAGCCTCAAAGATAAAAATTCTACAAAAAATGTACATCAGTGAAATTGATATAGTATTACGTTTTGTTATAATAATTCAGCAAAATAAGTAGCCCAGTACACCAAACAACTATTAATGAAATGTTATTTATTAATATTCTACAACCTTTCTTCAGTATATTAATGATATTATAAAGATGTTTTTCTCTTCTTTACAGAAACATTGCTCCTAAGATCAAGAGTATTTAGCAGATAAGAAAAACCTGAATGTCCAATTCAAAGAATGAACTACTATGAAACAGTGACACACAGCTAAATCATCAGTTTTTCTGTGTGCAAGCAGATCATATATTCATCAGTGATATCCATAATTCTTAACCTGGAAATCTTCATGGTTATATGTTTGGTGGGATGGCAGAACAGATCCCATATAATGAAGGGCAGGTAGTGTTCCGCCCCCTCGGCCAGACCACCTGTGTGTACCATAAAGGGGAAATCTTGGAGTGGTTTTGTGAAACATGTCCTGATGCAATATGTAAGAAATGTATTCCCACAATCCACAGGGGTCATAACTTTGAGGAGTTAAGTGAAGTTACTCCTCAAAACAAAAGTCAGATACAAAAATTCATAGAACATACTCGGCAAAACGAAATACTTCAACTTCATCAGGAAATAAACTCTAACCAGGAGAGTCTGAAAAATCACTCAAGCCATTGCAAGGGGGTGGCACAAGAAGTGAAAAAGCAAGGTGAGAGATATAAGAAGGATGTCGACAGTTTTATAGCGCAAATGCTTCTCAAGCTGAAAAAGTTGGAAGATGAAAATTCCAATCTTCTGAGAAATTACCAGACAGACCTTGAGAATAAGCTTGAAGATTTGGAAGGGAAAGTGGAAAAGTATGAGGAAACTACCAGGACAGGCACAGATATACAGATGTTTGATTCTGTAATTAGCTGTCAACGCCTTACTCATGTCACCTCACCTGCTAAACCCACCCTGGGTACTGTCCAGTTCTACCCAAACAGCCTTACTAATGAACTAATGGAGCAGGCAATTGGGAAAGTGGGATTGACCCGATCTGACGAGATTCCAGGTCCCTCCGAAGATCAAATCTCTGTTGTGAGGGAATGGGAGGCACCATGTAACACCAGGTGTATCTGTCCCATAGAAGATGATGATGGGGCATGGACCTGCGATTACAGCAACATGCTGACATACCTGACCAGCCAGGGAAAAACAAAGCAGCAGATCAAAAGTCCTGTCCCAGTCATAGACATCTGTGTGTCTCCCAAGACACAAAACCTGTGGGCCTGCTCGAACATAGACAACAGAGTGATTGAGCTGGTATCTGGTAAATTCACCGGCAGATTTTACACACTGGATAAAGTCAGGTCCATTTGTGTTACTAAGTGTGATGAAGTCCTTGTGGGGATGAAATGCAAAATTGAAAAATATACTACAGAAGGAAAACTTCACTCCACCATCACAACAGCATGGTCACCACGGAGGATTGTACAGTGTCCAGTCAGTGAGAACATCGCTGTAGTGGACAGAGACGATGCAGGGGATGGCGGCAAAGGCAATCCACACATTATTGTGATGGACAAAAACCTGAGGAAGTCATTTCAGTATGGACGACCTGAACATGCCAGTAGGACAGGAAGACGACCTTTTGACCCAATTGATGTAGCCTACGACACTCGGGGCTGCCTTGTTGTTGGCGACTGTGAGAACGGCTGCCTTCACCTCCTGAGTGGTAAAGGACAATATCTGAAACTCCTCCACACCGCCACAGAAGGGGCGTGGCCTGTAGGTGTGGCCAGCGATGGACTTCTGTGGGCACGGTTTGGTGTTTACAGCAGTAAACAAGTCAAACTAATACAGTACAAACTGTAAACCAACACATGACTTGGATCTTTTCATCCTGTGCTACCAAAACCTAGCATAGTAACCTGAATCTCTATACATGTATAATTACATTAGGTATTAACCAGGTGGCTTAGGGTCAGTAGTTAAAGCCTCAGAAGGCACACCCTACAAGGTCCTCATATTGAATTGAGATTGTATCAACTGATTGTATGAAGTTTTAAGTTTAAACACATTTTATTGTACAAAAATACAAATAGATTGGACAACAAGTTATTACAACTTAATAGAGTCCTCTCCTAAATACATATGGTAAATACAATGTATATGTTTTTGGGGAACGGGAGGAGGATAGGGTGGAGAAGAAAGGGGGTGGAGGAGGGGGGTGGGGATAGGGAATGGGGGGGTTACCTAGTAAACTCTAAAAAGGATCCGCTTTTGAATAAATTATATATTATACAAAATTTCATGACATGCAGCCTGGTATAGTAATTTTATAATGAACAAGATCAATGTAACATAGTAATCAGGCAAAATAATGAAATGCAATTTCATAAACATATATAAAAATGTACACATATAAATAATAATAAATAAGGAATGATAATTATAACAAGTACTAATTGTAATGGGGGACCATTACAGAAGTCCCCCAAACTGCCCCCATAGTCGCAAAGATACATCAGAAAAGGATCACAATGGCATAAAACACCTTCATACTAAATTTGAGTGAAATCAAACAATATCTGAATTTCGACCAATCTGAAGAAGAAGAAAGAATAATAATAATAATAAGAATCGGAGTTAAAACAATAAGTCCCCAAACTTCGTTTGGGGGACTTAATTATAAAAACCTATTGCTGGATTTGATGTAATGATGCACTTGTCTAAAAACTTTTGTATTGATTTCTACCCAAAGTTGAGTATGACCACACAAAAATAATTCTAAATCAAAATCAACATACAAGGCATTCAAATTTTGGAACAGGATGCGTCTTTCATCGTTAAAAAGTAAGCACTCACAAAAAAAAGTGAAAGGCATTTTCACAGGGATGGCCACAATTACAAACTGGACTATCAACAAGATTTACCCTATAAAGATCATAGTTAAGTGGACTACACTGATATCTAAGTTTTGTATGCAAAATGTTTAATTCACGTTCACCAAAACCTAAGTAGATTGGCGGAGGAGATACGGTTGAAGTTAACGAGTTTTTAAAAGAATGTAAAGAAGTCAATGACTGTACTGAAAGGTCCAATGAATTCCAACTGCAAAGAGTTGAAGGTATGAAAGATGAATTTGTTAGAGAAAGCCTGAAAGGAGGAAATCTATAATCATTATTGTTTCTAAGGGTGTAACGGTTGTTTTCTGCAACAGTAGACGGCAATAGATCATTAAAATAGTCTGGAGTTAATTTATTGTGCATCTTATACAAAAGTTGAAGTTTTCTGCGCTTTGATTTGAAAGACCAGATTCAAAAAGTAAATCTTCGATTCTGGTATAAGAAGAAAGTCCAGTAATTATACAAATAGCTTCTCTTTGGGCTTTCTCTAACATTTCTGTTACATAAGTTGTACAACCATCCCACAATTCACAAGCATATTCTAAAACTGGTAAAATAAAGGATTTATAAATCTTTAAAAGATTATCTCGATTCAGTAAGTATTTGAGTCTACGTAAGACGTTGACTTTTTTCATAACTGAAGTATATATTGCACAATTATGATCCCCCCATTTTGCCCTTGAATTAAAAATAACACCTAAATGTTTATGATGATCAGTAAAATTTTAAAATTCGCCATTAAATTCTAATTCTAAATCTTTATTAATTTCAACTGAGTTTGAAACAAAAATTACTTCTGTTTTTTGTATAAATTGTTCATCTGTGTTGTTAAGTGTCTTTAAGTTTTTTTCTTTTACTAGATAATCAGACACTATGACTTTGACCTTCAACTCATATTAATAAATTGGTATGAGGAATACAGATGATTCTGTAATTGTTTTTTTAAAGCTAATGTGTGATAACTGAGTGACAAAATAAAATTAGGAACTTCCCCGAAAAGTATTGTGTTATGTCTCATTTATGCAACAAAATAGTAACTCCATTTTAACTGCTAAGGATGGATGACCCACCACAGACAAAGGTGACTTGATGAGCCCTCCATCTGATGACGGTTGACTAAAAATGTCAACAATAATTGACACCTACCTCACCCCAGAGTCCAAAAGCAGGCATCCAAGCTTCAATATCAAATTTTCGGTATGCAGGAGCGCCAAGTTCATGGGTAGGCATTTCCAAGATTCTGACAAGATTAAAGCATAACAGTTCAATAAATCAGGCAATGTCTTATCACTGTTGTCATTAGTGAATCTCTGGCAGGAGAAATTTCTTTTCAGAATATTTATTCAGTGAGTAGTTAACTGTACAATAACATGTTGCTTATCTATGACATGGAGATTGTTGAATTGGTGTTCCAAATATCAAGAAAATAGTTAATGGAAAAGAAGTTACAGTACTTTTACCAATACAATGGGGGATGTTAAATCTACAAGCACATAGAGACTTATTCAAGCTTCCTTGAAAGTACAATATTTATCATAGTTGTATAATATCTATCATATTTATCTGAAAAGTCAGCCCAGATCTAAAACTTTTCTTTTTCCGTATCAAGATACTCCAGAGGGTTGTCAGTTAAAGTTACCTGAAATGCAGTCCCAGATCAAGGAACATTTCTTTTTCAATATCAACATACTCTAGGAGAAGGTTGTCAGCCTCTGTTTCTGTACCGGAGCCTGTAACACCAAACATCTCCACCTGGAAACAAGAACACATCCACCTAAAAACCTAATCCTCTAGATATGATCTGTACCAAGTACACCGATATCTAATAAGAGTGCAACACGAAACATCTGATACTTTCGTCTTTCATAATGATATTTGGCTAATAGCTTCATGTGATGAAGGCTGACAAAGTTTGCAAAATAAAATTACCATAACCTAGTTTCGAAGTCCCAGACCTAAGCTATTTTAAAATTTCAAACAATTTCTTCTCGAGAATCAAAATGCCTTTCTTCTTGGGATGGAGCTTGACAAAATTTTAAAACAATGATTTTAAAATTACTAAAGGCCTTTCAGTTGTTTAGAAGAATCTTTTTGAAGGTTTTGAAATATTTGACCTTTGTGACCTTGAATGTAGGTCAAGGTTATTTTCTTTGTGAACTTTGTTAGGCTCCATCCCAGGAAGCCACCAGCCAAGCCAGTGCTCTCACTAAGTTTTGAAGTAGATGGCTGACTTATAAAGAATAAATGGTTGAATGTTCACATGCTTTTATGTTCACCTAAACATATTCTGGAACAAGGGCACCTTAAAGCGGTACATAATACAACCGTCACATGTTGAATGACCAGTTTTTTGTATGTTTGAAATATGAAATGAGTAATTGATGGTAAAGGAGAAATAATTTTTCAAGAATGATAGATCAATAGGTGTAATAGAACAACATGGAATGCATTAACGTCGTATGTTGATGGTTATCAAACTTGTCCAAGCTGTTATGGTAATAAACCTTCCTTTGAAGTTTGAATTTAATCTGTAGAAAATTAGTGAAGATATCAAATGGACACCGTTTTGGAAAGTGGATAAAGGGCCCTAACTCCGTAAGTAACTGTGGGATATTGGTAGTTATCAATCTCGTCTGAGCTGTTATGGTAATAAACCTTCCTTTGAAGTTTGAATTTAATCTGTTGAAAATTAGTGCAGATATTGAGCGGCTACCAAGCGTGCCAGCCCACCCGCCAACGTGATAACATAATACATCCTGTCTTTCGACGGACGTATAAAAATTGACGGTTCAAAGTTGATGAGTAGTAAGCTACTTTGACAGCAACTGGCTTTTAATGAGAACAATACAAGTATCATGACTCTTAGACTGTCGCTTTTTTAGAAGAATTTTTTAAAGCAAAAGTTGATAATGAATGGAGGCATGGCAACCCAGTTGATGGACACTATCGTGGAATAAGCTCACCAGTACTTTGGACAAGGTGAGCAAAAACAAGTATAGAAAATCTACTTAAAAAATTACACATAATAGTTTAGTTAACAGTGACAGGCGATCTGACCTTTGTGAACTGGTGTACCCGGTAGATACCCTGCTTCTCTTCCCTGCCAGCCCCCTCGGCTCTGTAACATCGGCTCACAGAACACAGCCTGTAAGATCAACACCATGCTGTATCAATTCTATCCTCACAGCCTGTAATATCAACACCATGCTGTATCAATTCTATCCTTACAGCCTGTAACATCAACACCATGCTGTATCAATTCTATCCTTACAGCCTGTAATATCAACACCATGCTGTATCAATTATATCCTTACAGCCTGTAACGTCAACACCATGCTGTATCAATTCTATCCTTACAGCCTGTAAGATCAACACAATGCTGTATCAGTTCTATCCTTACAGCCTGTAAGATCAACACCATGCTGTATCAGTTCTATCCTCACAGCCTGTAAGATCAACACCATGCTGTATCAGTTCTATCCTTACAGCCTGTAAGATCAACGCCATGCTGTATCAATTCTATCCTTACAGCCTGGAAGATCAACACCATGCTGTATCAATTCTATCCTCACAGCCTGTAAGATCAACACCATGCTGTATCAATTCTATCCTTACAGCCTGTAACATCAACACCATGCTGTATCATTTCTATAATTAGCTAGATTTTTTTTACTACTAAAGCTGAATAATGCATTACATTTTGTGAATTATATACCTTGTACATCATTTACAAATTGAATAAAAGATTTTCGCCTTACTTGCATATAAATGTCACAACACAGCAGTGATATAACAAATAGCATGTGACAAAACAATACATATCCACTGTACAAGGAGAGAATTATATGGTTATTGATCAATAAGGAATGAAAATTAAATGAAAGGTAAATTTTCATAAATTGAAAACCTTTTTTTTTTTTCGACGATTTTTTCATAATACATATAATCATGAAAAGAAACACACACACACTCAAACTTACAGAGCATACATGCTAGCACGAGATATCTTTGTAATCTACACATGCACAGGTTAGGTATACATTATACAACCATCATATTCTGCATATTTGTTTATTAAACATTTCCTCATTCACCTGCCCCTAGAAGATATGCGCTATATATCTGAGAAGTATAGTTCAAACTTGAAAACATTTCTGGCGAAATATACCTTCTAGGGAGTTCCTTCTCCTCCAAAACTTCATTCAGAAAAAAAGCTGAAAAGCAAAATATTAAGTCCAATAAATATTACTAGTTTTTTTTAATTACTGGTTCATGGTGCTGTTTGGACATTAATAAATTTGACAATAAATTTTTGTCTACATACTGTAATATTTTTGCCCATCAAATAAGTTCACTACTACCGGTAGTGACAAGAAGCACCAATAAAGATTTAAGCAATTTCTTTCCTGATCTTAATTCAAAATAATGATATCAAATAACTTATAAAGAAAATCATTTTTAACTGGACATTAATTGCTAACAAGTGTCACAGCACCAGCATCAACCCATTGTCTAGCCTTTATAGATTTTTGATTATAATACAGATATGTGAAACTGTACAGTACAAAATTTGACTATGTTTCTCAATGATGTGTTGAAATATGTGATATTTCTACTTATCAAATAACATTGTTTGACCATCAATGGCTAGTCATAAAACTGGGCAAAATATTCTGAAAACTTTCAATAACCACTTACCTGCAAGCGGCATTTCTGCAGTACCTATTAAACACTGTTCCCCATGACTTTTTTTATCCAGTGTGTAGACTTGGGTTACCTCCCCTTTTTTATGAAAACCACAGGCTTCCTGTTAAAGTTTGACAAGCAAAAAGGTGGTATTTAGTAGAGTTACCTTAACTCATTCACCCCTATATTATCAAACTGGACTTGCCCAGTCTTTAATTTGGAAAGGTTCAATTGTAATTTAATGGGTGAATGGTTAACATTCTGTAGTTACCTTGAAGGCATAATTTTGTGTCAGAGTTAAGGGTTAAAATATACAACATAATTCACTTTCAAGAAATAAATTATATAAGACTTACTATAACGGCTGGATGAATAATTTCTGGAACAGTCACAAGTTCAAACCCTCTAGAGATTAACTTGGTTATGGCTAGTTGTATGAGGGCATGTTCTAGGTCTGCTAGTCCAGCCAGGAAGTAGTATGACCGTGTTCCAGTCGTGATGCCAAGATCACTGAAAGTAAACAGGTCGTTTCTAAAACAGCCGATTTTTTAGAAGGTTGTGGAGCAGGTTCACTAATAATTGAATTGGATCCTTTTTTCTAACTTTTGAACATTACAGACAGATTTAAAAGGAGACAGGTTGCCCTTGTATATATGTACATGTTGCAACACATTCATAGCAGCGACACCGTTTGTTCAGCAAAAAATTGACGCTTAAAAATGGTTTGGATATTGAGGGAGGTCTATAAATAATGATTTAACAAGAAGGAAAAGGGCACCTTAAAATAAAATGTCGTTAAATAAGGGGGCTGATGAAAAGTTTGGCATTATATCACAATTTTACTGTATACTGTATTTACAGCAGTACATGTACTTACTTTAACCGGAGCAGATTGAGGTCTTCACCTAATTTTGAAGTCTTTTGTGGTTTAAAGTCTTTGAATTCTGGAAGGTTTAAAGTATATCTACTTTTACAGGTTACAACTCTACTCAGCTAATTAGACATAAACATAAAAACATGTAAACAATCAGACATGAATATCAAAAGTTCTTATATAATCATTATTCTACAGAGTTTAAATTATGGAAATACATCGAAAACTGCTAAAACAGGTTTCAACTTTTAGTTTTGTTAAATTGATTTATAGTACTTTCAAAATCCTAAATGAAGTATTTTGCATATATTATTACACTTTCTTACATACTTACTAATAAATACGATTTTTTGTATATGCGATACGACACAATTGCTTTAACCCTTATCAGCCCTCGCCGTATCACACCCCAAAACCTGTATCAGCCCTCGCCGTATCACACCCCAAAACCTGTATCAGCCTCCGCTGTATCAGTTCGCAAAACTCGTATCACACCCCTTTTGGAAACTTTTCGTTTTGCAATATTTCCAAAGAACAATAGATCATAAGATAGTAGTTTTTAATAGTAAGTATGTAATAAACAGAATAAAACACGCCTTTTTCCATATCACACCCAGTATCAACCCTCGACCAATATCAGCCCTCAAGCTGATATTGCAGTCTCAGGTTGATACTGGGTGTGATATGGAAAAAGGCATGAATTATTCTCTATGTACCCAAAACCTCTTCATACAGTTTTCGTTTCGCAAATGACATACCCATGTGGAATAGATTTTTTAAAAATGATTTTAATGGAATAGATCTGTTTTTTAATGACTTTAAGTTATTTCTTTTATAATTTTGTTTTAACTTTTTCTTTGAATTAATGAATCCATTCCAAACAAAAATATTGAGAATGTTGTCATTGATATTCATTCAGAAATTCATTTGAACTTTGACCTCATACATACAATCTAGTAGTGAGTAATGTATTCACCACATAAGTGTCATCAAAATAGTGTCAGTAATAAATAGGCTATCCTCCAGGGCCAAATATGTTGCTTTAAGATTTGACATCAATTTGTTCCCCAGATCACTCCATGGCGAGCCTCCAGCTGATGGTTGATATGCACAGCAAATTATCATCAAACTATTTTTAACCAGCACCATTAGGAAGCTCAGCTCGATACCAGTATGTTGGTTGATAAGCCATACAAAATTACGTTCCATCATGACAGGCATATAAAAATTAATTCAAACAAAATAAGCTATCATCAATCAATTGTAGACTTTGATTCATCAATTAAGTTTTAAGGAATGGTAAATTAATATTTATTTACAAAAGAGTGAAATTAAAATTCTGGTCCTATTTGCTACAGATGTTGGCTAGAGGTTTTCTCATTGTAGGAAATAGGGCCAGTGGTGAAGGAACATTTTGAAATATAAATACAACAAAATCAGAATCATTGGATATCATTTCACTGAGTAGATTGGTTGAGAAAAAATATTAATGTGTTTTAGGAAAACTCTTGCTTTTTTTTTGGCAACAATTTGATCTTTCAGTAACCACTGGTTAAAGTTAACGGTGACCTTTGAGCAATCGAGGAAACTTACATTACCTTATTTCTTAACTACTAACTAAACTAACTGCCGCATTCCATAGAATGAAGCTTCAGCACATTTTCGACAACATCAGACAAGGGTTTTATAAAATTCAGTAGAGTATATATACAAACCGGTCTTTTCCCCAAAAGTACCGACCAGTCTTGTATTGGATTCATCACCTATAGGCTAAAATAAAAAAGAATTGTGTAGTCTATCATTACGATACGCCAGAAATGTATCATATTCAATTAATCCTTTGTGTGGTAATACACTAATCATTATCTATTTTGTGTGGTAAAACACTAATCATTATCTGCTTTGTGTGGTAATACACTAATCATTATCTGCTTTGTGTGGTGAAACACTAATCATTATCTATTTTGTGTGGTAAACAACTAATCACTATCTGTTTTGTGTGGTGAAACACTAACCATTATCTGTTTTGTGTGGAAAAACATTAACCATTATCTGTTTTGTGTGGTAAAACACTAACCATTATCTGTTTTGTGTGGTAAAACACTAACCATTGTCTGTTTTGTGTGGTAAAACACTAACCATTATCTGTTTGGTGTGGTAAAACACTATTCATTATCTGTTTTGTGTGGTAAAACACTAATCATTATCTGTTTTGTGTGGTAAAACACTAATCATTATCTGTTTTGTGTGGTAAAACACTAACCATTTTCTGTTGTGTGTGGTAAAACACTAACCATTATCTGTTTTGTGTGGTAAAACACTAATCATTATCTATTTTGTGTGGAAAAACACTAATCATTATCTGTTTTGTGCTGTATAACACAAATCATTTTCTGTTTTGTGTGGTAAAACACTAACCATTATCTGTTTTGTGTGGTAAAACACGAACCATTATCTGTTTTGTGTGTTTAAAACACTTACCATTGTCTGATTTGTGTGGTAAAACACTTACCATTATCTGTTTTGTGTGGTTAAACACTTACCATTGTCTGATTTGTATGGTAAAACACTAATCATTATCTGTGGTAAAACACTAATCATTATCTGTTTTGTGTGGTAAAACACTTACCATTATCTGTTTTGTGTGGTAAAACACTTACCATTATCTGTTTTGTGTGGTAAAACACTAACCATTTTCTGTTTTGTGTGGTAAAACACTAACCATTATCTGTTTTGTGTGGTAAAACACTTATCATTATCTGTTTTGTGTGGTAAAACACTAATCATTATCTGTTTTGTGTGGTAAAACACTAATCATTTTCTGTTTTGTGTGGAAAAACACTAACCATTTTCTGTTTTGTGTGGAAAAACACTAACCATTATCTGTTTTGTGTGGTAAAACACTAACCATTATCTGTTGTGTGGTAAAAAACATTACCATTATCTGTTTTGTGTGGTAAAACACTTACCATTATCTGATTTGTGTGGTAAACCACTAATCATTATCTGTTTTGTGTGGTAAAATACTAATCATTATCTGTGGTAAAACACTAATCGTTATCTGTTTTGTGTGGTAAAACACTAATTATTATCTGTGGTAAAACACTAATCGTTATCTGTTTTGTGTGGTAAAACACTAACCATTTTCTGTTTTGTGTGGTAAAACACTAACCATTTTCTGTTTTGTGTGGAAAAACACTAACCTTTTTCTGTTTTGTGTGGAAAAACACTAACCATTATCTGTTTTGTGTGGTAAAACACGAACCATTATCTTTTTTGTGTGGTAAAACACTTACCATTATCTGTTTTGAGTGGTAAAACACTAATCATTATCTGTGGTAAAACACTAATCGTTATCTGTTTTGTGTGGTAAAACACTAATTATTATCTGTGGTAAAACACTAATCGTTATCTGTTTTGTGTGGTAAAACACTTAATATTATGTTTTGTGTGGTAAAACACTTACCATTGTATGATTTGTGTGGTAAAACACTAATCATTATCAGTGGTAAAACACTAATCGTTATCTGTTTTGTGTGGTAAAACACTTAATATTATGTTTTGTGTGGTAAAACACTTACCATTGTCTGATTTGTGTGGTAAAACACTTACCATTATCTGTTTTGTGTGGTAAAACACTAATCATTTTCTGTTTTGTGTGGAAAAACACTAACCATTATCTGTTTTGTGTGGTAAAACACGAACCATTATCTTTTTTGTGTGGTAAAACACTTACCATTATCTGTTTTGAGTGGTAAAACACTAATCATTATCTGTGGTAAAACACTAATCATTATCTGTGGTAAAACACTAATCGTTATCTGTTTTGTGTGGTAAAACACTAATTATTATCTGTGGTAAAACACTAATCGTTATCTGTTTTGTGTGGTAAAACACTTAATATTATGTTTTGTGTGGTAAAACACTTACCATTGTATGATTTGTGTGGTAAAACACTAATCATTATCAGTGGTAAAACACTAATCATTATCTGTTTTGTGGGGTAAAACACTTACCATTATTTGATTTGTATGGTAAAACACTAATCGTTATCTGTGGTAAAACACTGATCATTATCTGTTTTGTGTGGTAAAACACTAACAATTATCTGTTTTGTGTGGTAAAACACGAACCATTATCTTTTTTGTGTGGTAAAACACTTACCATTATCTGATTTGTGTGGTAAAACACTAATCATTATCAGTGGTAAAACACTAATCATTATCTGTTTTGTGGGGTAAAACACTTACCATTATTTGATTTGTATGGTAAAACACTAATCGTTATCTATGGTAAAACACTAATCATTATCTGTTTTGTGAGGTAAAACACTTACCATTATTTGATTTGTATGGTAAAACACTAATCGTTATCTGTGGTAAAACACTAATCATTATCTGTGGTAAAACACTAATCATTACTTTGTGTGGTAAAACACTAACCATTTTCTGTTTTGTGTGGTAAAACACTAACCATTTTCTGTTTTGTGTGGTAAAACACTAACCATTTTCTGTTTTGTGTGGTAAAACATTAACCATTATCTGTTTTGTGTGGTAAAACACTTATCATTATCTGTTTTGTGTGGTAAAACACTAATTATTATCTGTGGTAAAACACTAATCGTTATCTGTTTTGTGTGGTAAAACACTAACCATTTTCTGTTTTGTGTGGAAAAACACTAACCATTTTCTGTTTTGTGTGGAAAAACACTAACCTTTTTCTGTTTTGTGTGGAAAAACACTAACCATTTTCTGTTTTGTGTAGAAAAACACTAACCATTATCTGTTTTGTGTGGTAAAACACGAACCATTATCTTTTTTGTGTGGTAAAACACTTACCATTATCTGATTTGTGTGGTAAACCACTAATCATTATCTGTTTTGTGTGGTAAAACACTAATCATTATCTGTTTTGTGTGGTAAAACACTTACCATTATTTGATTTGTATGGTAAAACACTAATCGTTATCTGTGGTAAAACACTAATCATTATCTGTTTTGTGTGGTAAAACACTAATCATTATCTGTGGTAAAACACTAATCATTATCTGTTTAATCCTATAGAGCATCATCAGTAAATAAATATTAAACTAAATCATTAAATTGCAGAAGCTTGAACAGTCTCTTGAAACACATTTCTCTGTAGTCAGTTATTCTCACCTATGAGGGGGCCCTCAAACTTAAGGAAGATTACTTTGACCCTGTACAATTAAATCCTAAACAGACATAGACTTATATATGTACATAAACCCCCTAGAGGTTTGATTTGGTTTTATTTTGTTTAACATCCTATTAACAGTTAAGGTCATTTACGGACGTGCCTCCAAGTGTGTTGTGTATGCATGTTTTTGTATGTGTATGCAGGAGGCATGGTATGTTGGTGTATTTGCCTCCTTGAGATAGCGCAGATCTGATGCCGACTTTATAGTGCTATCTCACTGAAATACTAAGCCAAAGGTCCCCAGCACAGCATTCAGCCCAGTCACATTTTACTGACAACAGGTGAACAAGTCTTTAACATTTCCCTAAATGCTGAACATTAAGCAGGTAATTAATAAATAATAGAGACAAAATAACTTGTCACCAGGTACATACGGTACACTTAGTACAGATGCACTTACCGAATGTGGACTGCTTCTGTTTGGGATTTCTGAAGCAGCCTCTAACAGTTCCAGTCTCTAGGCAAAGAAAAAGTAATTTTGAAGTATCATTTTATTCAACAGAGTTCTGAATATCCTGAGAAATGAATCAAAATTTAGAATAAGTTAGAAATATATTCAATTCGTCAACATACTTAGGTATTTCAGAGGTAATCATCTATTTTATCCCTTTTAGTTTTGAAAATGCTAAATTATGATAAACACTTCATATACAAAATCACAGCATTCTGTGTGTTAAAGATAAATTTACACTCAATCATCATGTCCTGTTACTTGAAAATTGTCACAGATGTGTTGAAAGATGAGTGGGCTTATATAGGTAGGTCTTAATTACAGAGATCACATTTAGGACAAGTGTTTACCGTTCTTCTGAGTGAAAATCTGTACAAATTTGTCTAGAAACTGTAAGAAATTATCAAATTTAATTTAAATTACACAGTATGAAAAAGATGTCTATTTTTAAAGACCCTGAAACAAATACATATAAAATGTATAAAAACGAGATTAAAATTCTTACCGTTTCTTCATAACCTGTTGCATCAAACTGGGCTTTCAGATGTAACTGAAAAAGGTAAATCATTCGTTTTAATTTGTTATCTAATAATACATGTTATTGGTACATACTTTACTCCATAGAAAATTTAATCTGAACTCTTCTTACGAAAATCACTTTTGTGGATACACTGATCTCATTCATGAACAGCTACTATAAAGTCAGGTGGAAAATCTACTGCATAAATAATAAAAAAATAAAATAAAATAATAATACATTAAGAAGCACCATTTTTTTTGTGTCATCAAGGATCATTTGTGTAGCACCCATTTCAATATAGCATTTTATTTTTTTTCCCTTTCTAAAAATTATTTTATTTTTGAAGTCAGTTACCACTCGGTTGATATCTCCGATCCCCTTCCTGTTAACTATGTTAGCAGTGATACTCTCCCTGTTTTCTTCACAAATGTATTCCCAGTCAATTTCAGGCTCTGGCATTTCTAACGGCCGTTGCCAATCATCTTGACTACTTTTTTCCGAGGAATCTTGTATATCACAGTTCTCTGTGCTCCTTAGGTTCTGTTCCGTTACGCTGAAATGTCTCACACACTTGCATCTGAAACTCAGTCTAGATTTTGTCCATATTGACCGCTGGTCAGTGCATTGTGCAACTAAAGGTATTCTCAATGTTGTAAATGTTTGTTTTGTCGACACTTTTCTACATGCTTGTATTTGTTGACTTAAAATATGTTGGTGACACAGTGAAGTCCTGCTACACATCTGGACTTGAGCCTTCCTGCAGATGTTGAGTGCCCTCGACATAACTCTGCTCGACCTCTTGACCTCTTTGTATGTGATCTGCTATCTTCATGTAACTGTTAACCTCAGCTCTTTATTCAATAAGCAATTGGTTTATTTCCTTTCTTCAAGCTGAAAAGATAATTAAATATTAATTATAAAAAAAAGAGGGGATTCACAACAGTTCAGCACATGTCAACCCTTCTGAAACATTGTGGCTTCTTTATATATCTGGATTTATCATAAAACATGCATAAAAACAGCTTCCAACAGCGAACTTCAGCACCCAGTCATGATTCTCACCCACTTTCCATGCCCGAGTGAGTGAGTAAGTGAGTATGGGCAGATTGGTCGAGTGGTTACACTCCGGCCTTCCAACCAGTCGACGGGGGTTTGATCCCTTAAGTCGTCGTACGCATAGATATTCAGAGAAAGTGTTTTTCTCCTGCACACACAACATTACTCGTGGTATCTGTGCTGTAGCATATTCAAGTGAGGTGGCACATCTCTGACTCAACTATTCCAACTTTTTGATACACTTTTGAAGCTTAAGGATATGATGGAGGAAAACATGTCTAATAAAAGAGTTCATAAATTTGTAGAACTCATTAAGCATTCCTTTGCAGAGATCATACTTTTGGAAATACTTGTAGTTAGCTAAGATCTCAGATTTTTGATGACAGGGGTTTAGGGTTGTGAAGTGGGGAAAAGGATACCTTTTCTTTTTACCTTGGCAACATGGGACGTAATAGAGTTGAGGGGGTAGGGGAGATGGCTACTTGGTTACCATGACAACATGGGTAATAGGGTTGCGGGGGTAGGAGAGATGGCTACTTGGTTACCTTGGCAACATGGGTAATAGGGTTGAGGGGGTAGGAGAGATGGCAACTTGGTTACCATGACAACATGGGCACTACAAAAGATTCCGTTGGAAGCACAGTCCCACTACAAACAAAACACATAACATCTCCAGCACACAAGCAGGCATACACACGTAGGGAGATATTAGCCAGGTGGCACAGGACTAGTAGTAAGCACCTGAAAGCTCCTGCAAATTCTTTTAATAATTAATGCATATGCTATTTGTATTAATTGTATATCTATGTACTGTAAAGCGCTTTAGAGTGACTTAGTTAGCTAGATAGGGCGATAAAGCAAATGCTGAATATTATTATGACATGAGGAAGAGAGAAGACTGGAAATATCTCGCATCTCACTCACTCAGGATACAGAAATCTCAAAGAGATTATTTTCTCGTCCAAGGTCTGGACTCAGACATTGATGAGATAGGGCTTTTGATATATATGACCTTTGACAGGATGCGGTTTTCAACATGTATGATGTGAGTCACTTGAAAACAAACTGTTATGCACGGCGCGTCTAATTACCCAATACTACCCAATACCACCCAATACTACCCAATAC